CACACTTGGGCTAGCTACATAACCTGTCTGGTTCTTAGGCTGCTCATACTTAAGGAGGATAATAACATTACCAAGCTGAAAAGATGTGGAAACAAATAAAATAATACTTGTGGTGTCCACAGAACGGCATTTGATACATAATGAGTCCAATGAACAGCAGCTGTTAGAATGCAAATTCCTGTTTGCTTAATGGGGGAGGGACTTAGGAGCTTCTAATTCAAGTCTAATGCAATTAGACCTATCTCCAACCTTTCATATTCGAGTTAAATCTGAATAACTTAGAAATGCAACAAGTGCGTATTTCTGTCCTTGTTCCCCTATAGCGTTTTATTTATTCTTTCTAAAATAATCTCATTTATCATTTATCCTCTGATGCTCTCCCCTTCTTCATATTTCAGATTGAAAAGCAGAATTTTCTGAGGCAATGTAAAGAACACTGATGTAACATGGTAAATTCAAGTGCGGCCGTTTATAGAGTTTTTAATATAGAATACAGCAGAGTGGTCTCCAGTTCTACCAGGTTAGTAAAAAAGTATTATTTCACTATATTTTTATGGCTGGGGAGTATTGCATAGTATAAATATGCTACATTTTGTTAATCCACTCATGTACTGATGGGCATTTGAGTTGTTTCCACATCTTTGAGATTGTGAATTGTGTTGATATAAGCATTCAGGTACAAGTGTCTTGTAACCAAAACATTCGCACCCCCATATTACTCTGAAATAAAAAATATAGAGCATTTACTCTGTCCACAATGACACCCTAACAAATGGCACAAGGGATGGCATTAAGGGTAAGATATCATGACTCTCATGACAAAGTGTATTCTTCTGATTTTAACTTCATTCATATTATTTTCCCTAAGCACATTTGAAATCTCACAAATAGCATTAAGCTCCTTCCTCAGCATTATTCAGGAACATTTAAATTGTTTTAGTGCTAGTTGTCATGGATTTGTCTCTCCTTAAAATGAGCTAAGTCTGTTAAGACAATGGAAAAAAAAGAAGGTCCAGGCATCCAGCAGGAAGGACACCAGTAGAGGAAAGTTTTTTATTTCCCAGTTCCAGAAACAGTAAGAGCATAAAAGTTAAGATCTTTAGGTAAATTTATAGAGCAACACTGAGGAGAGAGAAAAGTATCTGAAATCTGAAATTGGAGCATATATTTCTCAGGTTTCCAGGGAAAGGAATATGCTTTGCTAGACAGGTAAGGAACAAGTCTTTTATTGCTGAATAATAATTCTGGATCAAAAAATATAGTGAATTTAAGGAACCCAACAGGAGGGTAATTACAAAGAAGATTTTAATTTATACTTTTTCTTTGTAATAACAATATTTATTTGAAAAAATGTACTCAAATGTGACTAATATGCCCACATATGTACATAAAATGTATCTAAAATTTACTGCATAAATAAAACTACAAAATATTACTTTTAATGACAACCTCACTACTAATTCCTCTTGTCATTCTGAATGGTATGTATATTTCAACCTTGAAACAGAAAATCTATTATTTTCATAATGAATGAGGCTAGACTTAGTTTTGTTGCAAAAACTGATGAGAAGGAAATAGTAGGTAATGTGGATAGTGGGGCATGAGGAGGTCATAGCTTTAAAAGATGCTTTGAGTGGTCCCTGAGCAATCTGAGGTGCAGCCCCAGCATATTAATCACTTCACTACAGCTCTTACTGTCCGCAAAACCTTGCCCACAACTGGCACTCATAGTTGCACGATATTCTGTGCTATGCATTGACAAGGAAAAAGTTTTAAAGCACTGAAAGCTTGTTTTGCTTTACAGGCAGCTTTAGGAAAATAACTATAAGGACTTGTTAAAAGGTCACAGATTCGTAGTAACTTATTAGCTGAACGTACACACTGCAACTGCAGAGATAAAAGCTGTAAAAGTAAAAGCTTTTGGCTGTCTACTATAATCGAGGCTCAGCTGAGTGCGTTCATCTGTGGCTGTGGACTATAGTTGAGGCTCCTGCCAAAGTGGATAAGGGTGTGGCTCTCAGGAAAGGAAAGACCAGGGGAGGTTCTAGGAGAAATATGGACAGAATAAGCTGTTACCTAGAGGAGAATGTGGATTTATTATTGATAACAAAGTCAGTGCATAGAGGAAAAGGAGGGCTGGCCCCATGATATGGCCATTTATGAAGAGTATACAAGAGTTCATAATTTTAGTGTAAGATTTTGTGTTATTTCAGCACATACATTTCCATGTCTGGAAACAAATTATCCCCAAAACCCACCTCCATTTTCTGAACAGTTTGGATCATTAAAAAATATGGCATTGTGGGTTTTAATCTTGTTTAATTTTAAATATCCTAATAATCATGATATATGCATTGCAAATAAAAAGTCACTATAATTTTTTTGTTTCCTTCTAGATTAGAAAATTATGTTGAAAATATCTGTACAAATGAGCAGAGTTATTACAATTTTTGTTCTGTTTTTCTCACTAATGTTATAAACATGCTTTACCTTCTATGTCCACATTTTATTAATATTTATTTAAAGCACCATATGATATTAATTTGTAGTAGCCTGATTTATATAAACTTCTTCCTATCATTGAATATTTTGGTTGTTTCTCAGCTTTCACTATTATAAATGACATGGCACTATCTTTCATTATAAAACTTTCTCATCTCATTTCGCCTTCAGAATACATTTTTAGTCTTGAGGTTACTTGCATAAAAAACACAAAAAAGTTAATGATTCTGAAATTACTTACTATTATATTTTTCAAAAGGATTACCCAGATAAAGCAGTTTCATTGCTATTTTAATGTTGATATAATTGAAAAATAGCATGTTGTAAAAAACATATTATATTCTAATGACTGATGCAATTTTCCAAATCACTTTATGTCTGTAGGGAAATGCTGCTTAAAAATAATGTTGACATCAACATATGATTTCTACTTTGCAAAACACATTAATAATAACTGTCTGTTTTGCTTTCATGGGTCAGGCAACTTGAACAAGCATTACTATCTATTTTATAGCAGAGGAGGCTGAGGTACGTTGCTATCTTCAGTGACATATGGCTAGTGCATGATGAATTGTTAGCTTTTACTAGCGCAAACTGAACAATTTATTTTGTTTTCAATTAACTGTTTCTTGGGACTAATTTAAGATACTATGGAGAGTTTCTGTGTACTACACTCTTTGGTTCCCTTACTATTACCATCTTACATAACCACTCATATGTAAAAATCAGCTTATGTGTAAATTTCATATTAATTCCCTTTGTTCTTTTATTCATCTATTTTTCAGATATAATACATAGGTATACATATACAAATATTAACAAATATGACACATGCAGACACACATATGTGCTATTTGACTGATGCATTTCAGTTATGCATAAAGACAAGGACACAATCATCCTGTGAAGCTGTGTGTTCTTGTTGAAAATGAAGTCAAAGGTTGGAGGATTATCTGGATGACTCATGCCAAGGCTTTCTATGGGTGAGGGGGTTGTTTTTTTTAAGTGAGTTACTAGTCGCTACGTTGATAAGGGCATTTTATCATTAGCAATACTTTCACATTTTCAAATTTGACCTTCATTATAATCCTGGCAGATGACCAGGTAAGCTATTAATATATACACACCTCTCTGCTTTACAATAATATCAAATAAATTTGAAACATGTATATCCTAGGTAGTTATACTTGATCACACCTAACCACATTATGTAAATAATTGACAAATAATTTAAAAAGCCTCAAGACTCTGTCTTATATACAACTTGTTGATTCTCTTCCCTGCCTATGTAGTGGCCACCAATTTGTTCATGTAAGTACTTTAAGAAAGGTCATCGCTGTTCCGTAATTCTTGATGAAAAGGAAAATCCCACTTCTTCCCCTATTGATACAGTGGAGTCAGAGGTTCTGTGTTTAATCCCCAGGTCAAGCATCTGTTGTTTGAGTGAACTTAAGCAAGAGCTTCCCACCAATCAAACAGGGACAACAGGACTATCACAGACTCTCTTCTATGCAGGGGGGGAACCCCACCTTCTTTCACTTAGTCACCATGACACCGCTCTCATATTGGCATTATTATTTTTGTAAACTGTTCTCATTGTTAAATGACAGATTAAAAATAAACTCAACACTTAGTAATATTTTTGTGTATTAAGTGTACAGCCCGACATTTTGCCCAGATTCATTCCCTTTTATGAGGAATGAATTAATTCATTTAAAGGAGCCACACAATTCAGAATTTCAAAGAGATATTTGAAGAATAGCCAAAATTTTCAAGAAGCTTTTAACTGTATGTTATTTTGTCTTCTGTTTGTAGATAAGGCAGTCTCCAGGTTAGGATGTCATGCTGATCACTCATGCTTCCATTTCATGCCAGTGGCAGGCATGGCCAATAAACTACAGTCCTCCTTTCCTTATAACTTGGAGGTGGCTTCAGAATCCTTCTCAATAATGCACTCTGAGAGCCACCAATAAATGATCAAAGCTGGCACTTGAGATGAAAACTGTTTCTCTACTCTACCACATGTGAATGCTTTCCTTCCCCCATATTGAAACTCTACTCTCTTAAGGCATTTTATAATTTATCTTCAACCCAATTCTCCATGACCTTTCACTAGTACCCTCACCAATGTCGAATTTTGTGTTCACAGTGACAATACAAGCACTCAGGTAATTTTGCATATAGATGTGCTAACTTATAAAATGTTAAAAAAATTATCGGATGTTGGGCAGGTGGGAGGGGGGAGGAGGGGATGGGTATATACATACATAATGAATTCAAGGCTCACTACCTAGGGATAGACATGCTGAAGCTTTGACTCTGGGATGGGGGAGACATGAGCAATGTATATAACATTAACATGTGTATCTCCATGATATGCTGAAATTAAAAAAAAAAAACTATAATGCTATAAATTGAATGAGTCAATTTTTCTTTATCATTACTGCAGATTCTACATGATCACCACAGTTGGAAGTTTTACCTTTTCCTTGGAAATCATGCAAAACAAAAGCTTTGTAACTGAGTTTGTTCTTCTGGGGCTTTCACAGAATCCAAAGGTTCAGAAAATATTATTTGTTGTATTTTTGTTTGTCTACATAGCAACGGTTGGGAGCAACATGCTAATTGTAGTAACCATCCTCAGCAGCCCTGCTCTGCAGAGGTCCCCCATGTACTTCTTCTTGGCTTTCCTGTCCCTCCTAGATGCATGCTTCTCCTCTGTCCTCAGCCCAAAGATGATCGTGGACTCCCTCTGTGAGAGGAAAACCATCTCCTTTAAAGGATGCATGGTTCAGCTTTTTGCTGAACACTTCTTTAGTGGGGCAGAGGTGATTGTCCTCACAGCCATGGCCTATGATCGGTATGTGGCCATTTGCAAGCCTTTGCATTACTCTTCCATCATGAACCGCAGGTTCTGTGGCATTCTGATTGGGGCAGCCTGGATAGGGGGCTTTTTGCATTCCCTGATACAAATACTCTTTACTTTCCAGTTGCCGTTCTGTGGTCCCAATGTCATTGATCACTTCTCTTGTGACCTTCAGCCATTACTGGATCTTGCCTGTACCAACACTCATGTCTTTGGCCTTTTTGTGGTCCTCAACAGTGGAGTTTTCTGTATCCTAATCTTCTCCTTGTTGCTTGTCTCCTATGGTGTCATCCTGTTCTCACTGAGAACTCATAGTTCCGAGGGGCGGAGAAAGGCTCTCTCTACGTGTGGATCTCACGTTGCTGTTGTGATTCTGTTCTTTGTCCCGTGCATATTTGTATACGCACGACCTCCATCTGCTTTATCCTCTGACAAAATGGTGGGAATAATTTATGGCATCCTAGCTCCCTTGCTCAATCCTTTGATTTATACTTTCAGGAATAAGGAAGTGAAAAACGCCATGAGGAAAGTGTGGAACAGATTGGTGGTGGCTTCTGATGGAAAATAAATTGTTAAACTTTTCCTTATAAAATCAAGGTTAAGAGTAACAAAATGAAAAAAATCTTGGACAAAATCTTTATGGGATATACCTTGTATATAGAAAAAGGCAACATAATGTTATAACAAAAAGCATTAATGGGGTATGTCAGAAAATTACATTTACATGCTCTGATCACTCATCAACTCTGAGTTGGTTTCCACATATGTAAATTAAAGAGCATTCAAATTTATATTTTCTTAGACTGTAATAATCAAAAATTTTCAACCACATATCCATTATTTCAAGCTTCCTTCTATCAGTTCTCAAGTGTAACAATTTTTAACACCATCGTGACATACAAACCATTGCTATTGTTATCAACTTTATACATGAACCCAGGCACATACTCCTGCCTAAAAGACTGTGTCAAATAATTCTCTGTGTCTCAATTATTCTTCCTCCAGGTTTGTGCATGTCTTACCTTCTCACCTCCCTTGGTTGAGTATTCAAATGTACCTTCTGAATAATGCATTTTCTGACAACCTCACGATATAGCATATCTCACCCACTAACATTTTTGACTCCTATTCCTACATTTCTCTTTACTTTTTCTATTTAACACTTATCATGACCTACTATGTCATACAATTTAGTTATTCATTATATTTATTGTTTATACACTAGTAAATAATGTATACAGTGTTAGGATTCTTATCTTTCTCAAAAACTTTACTGTGGGATCTTAATGTCAGATGATTAAGAAAAAAATAAAACTTTATTGTTAATTTGCTAGTGCCTAAAACAGTGTCTGACAGATAGTAGGTGGTCAATATATACGTGTTAAATTAATAAATGAACGATAATAAAAATATACAAATGGGCTTCTTCTCCTGGGTGCAATCAATAACTCCTGGGCAAAAATACTCCTGCTGTGAACAACTAGAGACACCAGATGCAATATAGCAATCACCTGTATGACATGCTGAAGACCTTCTGAGAAAACTGAAACTGAGAGGTATCAGATTAGAGACACAAGATCTTCAATAATGTGAGTTGAATTTTGTGGCCATATTTACCCAGGGGCCATTTCCTGATTCTGGCATGGGCTGGAAGTGGAGAGTCTGGGCTTTGCATAGGAGGAGGGTCCCTGCTGGAGGTGGGGTGGGTTAGGAGATAACAACAGAGCTTTTGGAGGAAATTTGGAGAGCCTGAATTAGACAGTATTTTTCCCCAGTTTTAGGGGCACTATAGGATTGTTATGGTTTGAATTATATCCCCCCCAAAATGTTGAAGTTCTAACCACAGTACCTGTGAATTTCACTGTATTTGAAAATAAAGTCTTTGCAGATTATCAATTTAAGACAAGGTATTTGGAGCAAATCCTAATACAGCATAACGTTTCCTCATAAAAATAATAAAGAGAAAAATAGGCACACAGGGAAAATATCATGTGCAGAGGGAGGCAGAGAGATTGGGTGATAAATCTATAAGTTAAAGAATTTCAAAATTGCCAGCAAATCATCAGAAGCTGGAGAGAGGAAAGGAACAGATTTCCCCTGTATTCCTCAGAAGGAAGTGTATAAGCAAATCAAATAATAAAAAGCAGAAGGCAAAGAACCAGAATGTAAAAATGAGAAGTACATAAACAAAGCCAAACCTGGTTCATTGAATAGATAAATTAAACTATTACCATTGTGGTAGTAGTGTCTTGGGTATATACATTTGTCAAAACTCACCTGCTATACACTTTTAAATGCCACATTTTATTGTATGTAAATTAGACCTTAAAAGGTGGATTTAAAATAAAAAGATGTAAAAACAGCCATTATTTTCTTTTCATTCCCTTTCTCTCTTTTCCCTTCTGTTCTTTACTGACTTACTGAGTTCAGTATATTTTGAAAATTATAGAAGTTTTATTAGTTGTTCTCATCGTGGTTACTGATAAAATATTTTATCAATATCAATAGTATTAATAATAATTATTATCAATAATAATTATTATCATTATTATTAAATATTCTATTTAATGTTAATATTTTCCAGAACAGGAAATTAAGAGAAATTAAGAAATTTGCCTAAAGTCATAGAAACACAAATGATGGTTGTAAAATTCACTTGTATTGGTATTAATATCTGAGTCTTTGGGCCATTCAAAAAGATTTGGCCAAAAGAAAAAAGCTTCTGGTAACTTTCACTAGTCTACACCTGAATGTGACTCTGAAGGCATGCATAGGGAGCAGTTTGTCACTTTCGTGGGAGGTGTCCCTTAGCACAGGGAGGAGGGGAGCCTCTGAGGACAGAGTCTACCTGTTGACAGCCTTGCTTGGGATTAATTGGTCCCTGGCTTGCTGTGATCTTAGATTAACTGTGCTAAATAGCCCACTGAGCAAATCCTTCAAGTTTGAGTGGGAAGGGCTGTGGGTTTTCCCCTCTGGAGGCTGGGCCTTTGTGAATTTTATGTAATCTCTATAAATATTTGATGGAGAAAACATACATGCTTAATTCACGTTTTCAGCCAGAGAATATTTTTGTTTAATACAGCAAACGTTAGAAATATTTCTGTATAGAATAGTGGAATATTTTCTCTTTGTTTTAGAAATTTCTAGAAGCAGAAGTAAGAAACTTTCTGCTGGTATTTTAGACTCATTTTTAGAGTCTAACTCAGGCCTTTTCAGGAGATGTTGGCTGTCTGTGGAGTATCTATTTTCCCCATAGCTCCTGTAGCAGAATGTACAGATCTAAAGTAAAATTTATACCTTCTGGACACACTGCACATGATTATCTTCAAAGTAAATTGAATTGAAAATGAAAAAACTGTGAGCTTTGTATCAGATGTGACCTCTTTTTTTTTTTTTTTTTAAAGAAAAAAGGTAAATTTTCAAGTCAAACTGAACTATTTCTTCTCTCTTACCTCCAACTCAGGACAACTTAGGGCAGTTGTCATCCAGTTCTCTCTTCAGAATCTTGCAGTTCCAGGGAAATATTTCCCCCAGTGATGAAAAGATTCTAATTTTTCAGGATTCCCCAGCTTATACTGGCCTTGTTTGATGCTTGGCTTTATACTGGCTTCACCTGCATGGTGGAGTGTGATGCCTTTCATGGCAGTGCCCGTGGAGCATCGGAGAGAGATTACTCTGGATGACACAGGGTTCGTTCCAGACTCACGTTCTCGCTAACTTTTCACTAGTAAACTCTCCAGCTTACCCTAAAGTGTACAAAGCAGAGCCATGCCAATGTGCCTATGAGATATTGTACAACCTAATGGACAAAAGATTTTGATGGAAATGTGAGAGAAAGATATACGTATGAAATACATGAGGAATAACACAGACACACACGCATACACACTCATTTTAATCAAGCAAGGCTATTAAAAGTGAGACAGTTCTTTGGGGAAATTGGGAATACTTTGCTGAACAGTTGGGTCCTTAACTGGGTACTCTGTGCACAGGTAGAAATGGAGCGCTGAGGCCATACCAGAAGGCAAGTCACTCAGTCTCTGTGACATATGGAATATTCAGGGAGTGAAATGTCTAGGTGCATTTACAAGGCACCAAAAATATAAGGCCTGGCTGGAGCACGGATGAGCAGGAGCACTGGGAGGACAAGTGGAAGTCAAGTGGGGGCACCAAGTTGGAGCTTTGAAAGCTGCAGTGAGAATTTCGGCTATTTGCACTTGAAAACTGGAGTAATCTTTTTTTTTATATATTTATGAATCATCATGTTTTTAAAATGACCACTTTTCCTTTTCGAGTGCTAAAAGGGAAGCAAAAAGAGAGAGAAGATGGTAACAGTAAAAGAGGAAACACGTGAATTTAGGTCGTTCTTCCTGTTTAAAGATACACAAAAGCCATTTCAATACAGGTATGTGAGAATCCTCTTAAATAAAACCTAGATTTGATTTTTGTTGCTGTTGTGATTGCTTTGAGAATCTTCTTCAAATATTCTTTACCTAGGCAGATGTCTAAAACAGTCTTCCCGAAATTTTATTCCTGAATTTTTAATGGTTCATGCCTTAGGTTTAAGTCTGTTATCCAATGTGAGTTGATTTTTGTGAGAGGTGAGAAGTTGGGATCCATGTTATTCTACTGCATGTAGCTATCCAGTTTTCCCAGCACCACTTATTGAATAGAGATTCTCAACCCAGTGATACTTTTCTCTGCTTTGTCGATGATTAGATGACAATATGAGGATGATTTTATATCTGGGAACTCCATCCTATTCCAAAGGTCCTATGCCAAAGGTCTCATTCTAAAGGTCCATATCTCTGTGCATGTGCCACCACCATGCTCTTATGGTTACCATATTCTTATAGTAAAGATTGAAGTCTGGCAGACTTATGCTTCCCAATTTTTTCTACTCCACAGCAGGAACCAAGTAACTGATCCCATCAGGAGCAGCCTCCCAAGTGTGGGGGAAGACCCCTGAATACCATATTAATGGCTTCCCCTTGTGGCATAATATACAACCATTGAAGCACAAACATACAGGCTGGTGGGCAGCAGCTGAGACCTGCCTTGCTCCTACCACTACTTTAAGGGGGGAAATAGGGTCCTAGTGAGCCTCAGTAGAGGCATGATCCTTCCTAAAGATTGGGAAATTTTTATTCCTTACCCAGGGACCAGAAACCAGCACAGAGGCATCAGATTGCTTCAAGAACTGGCCCCTTCACACAGTCTGCAACCAATGACAGAGAGAGTTACCCCACAGCTCAACACATTGCCCTCCATATGAAACTATCAGAGGGCAGTGGATTTATACACACAGGTGTGATTCATCACATGGTAGTTTAAGCTGGGAGACAAAACCCACTAATCTCAACTGGCAAGAGGTGAAGACAACAGGTCAGAGGTAACCTAACTTGCCAAAATATCTCAAAGACAATAGAAACCAGCATGCCTCCTCCCACCACAGTTGAGAGACGTCCCTGGGGGCTTGAAGTTAAGGGAACCAACCAGTCATAGCACTCCCATTTCTCTATCAATTACCCTGATGGGAAAGAACCATAAAAAAAAAAAAAACACAGG